GCCGCTGCTGTCGCCGCGGGCCCCGCCGCGGCCCTCGGTGGCGCCTGTGTTTCCATGATAAAACCGGTGCTTTTGTGCCGAGCGGGGCGGGTGCGAAGTTCTGCTTTGCCCCTTGCGGCCGTTGGGGCCGGAGGCAGGAGGGCTGCCTGGAGCGAGCGCACGAAATGCCCTGCTAGCGGATTCAGGGAGTCCAATTCCCTCCTCTCCCCAAAATGAGCGGCTGGGGGCTTCGTTCCTGCAAAACGGATCTCGGGTTGGGAGTCGAGGCCGGTTTGGCCCAGAGTTCCCAAGGCGCAAGAGCGGAGGGAGCGAGAACAGGAATTTGCTTGGAAAACGCTGTGTCCTGGTGGGAATCGCAGCGCGGCTCGGCGCTGCGCACCCGGCAAACTCCCTCTCCTGCTTACGGTTTTGCTCCCGGGAACGCGGTGTCTTTTAGGTTTCGCATCCCCTGGCGAGTGCGCCCTTTGGGATTTTTTCCTACTTTTGCATCCCTTAATCTGGGAGGAGAGGAGGAGAATTTAATCCGTTGGGGAAGTGCCGATCCGAGGCCGCACGTAGGTTGTTGTCAGCCGCGGGGGCAGACCGGGGGCGCTGCTTGAGAAACTGGTTACAGGCATGAGTCTTAAGACAGGGGATTTTACACAACTGCTTAAATCTACATTATTCAAATCCAACAAAGGGCAAGTAACGACCCAATTACGAAGGCCGAGCGCTGGGTCCCTCGCGCGCTCCGGCTCTTCGCCTCGCCCCCCTGCTTTTATTTTTAAAGTCACATTTGGAGAAAAATGGGGAAAAATGGAAATTGGGGTGGGTGGGAGTGTTTTACGGGGGCCTTGCAACCAAGCTGGGCCCCTGCTGCAGCGGAAAGACAAACGGGCAGCGGGGGCGAAACGCAGCCCTCGGGCCCGGGCCGGGAAGGGCTTTTTGCCCCGTTCCTTTTTCCTTTGCGCCCCCGCAGCGCCCTGCCCATGAGCCCAGCGTGGCCCTCAGCCCGTCGCTGCCCGGGGCCGTGCCGGGCGTGCGGGGATGCGCGGGAGCCGCCTGCTTCCCGGTTTGCTCCTGCTTCCCGGTTTGCTCCCGGCAGGAATTGCTCCTCCCCGGGCAGGGCTGCCGGCTCGAGCACTGCTTGTCCCCGTGTTTAAGCCGGTACCCGCCGAAGGCGACATGTGCAGGTCCCCGCTGCCCCGTCGAGGTGCTCGCTGCCCTCTGCATCTCCACCGTGTTTAACTGTGTTCTTTCTCCTCGGCATTTGTAAAAACAAAGCTGGGCAGACGGTTTTGTGCACAGGAATGTTCCTGACCACAGCCAGACAGCAGCTATGTCAGGGCATGAAACGCTGCCTTTCTCTAGGCTCTTGGGCCATTACATTGTTTAATCTTCAAAGCATTAAACTTTTGGGTTATTCAGACGTTGCGCAGCTAAAAATAATAAAAATTCAAATGACTTGGTGGTGAAAGTATCTTGAGTTGAGTAGTAAAAGGATATTAAAATGTTAATTTACTAAGCGCTTTCCCACCAGTTGTTTTATTGGCTAGAACTCCATTTGCGTGCAGAAGAATTAGTTTTCTTTTCTGCTGCACGCAGGTGCATATAATTTTTTTTTTAAATAACAGCTCTTGAAACCCTCCCAACTTATATTAAAAATATTTACACAGGTTGGCTCGCTAGGTACGCAGTATTTTAGAGGAAGCTCCCTGGCAGAAGGAGATTAGGGGGCAGCGAACGAGTGGCCAGAGCGGCTGGTGCTGTGAAAAGCTGTTTCCCTTC